CCAAATGTGCCGAATTGGTCAATTGAAAAATGTTCAAGTACATAATTATAGAGAACATACAAAACTGATATGATAATACAAAATGTAAGTTTACACACTCCCAGGAATGTCATACATGATGGCTCATTAGCTTATACACTAACTTTCACACATCTAGATGGACGGGCGGGGTGGGTGTGGAGCCAGAGACAGCAGGGGTTCAAACTGTAAAACCCAGTTCCTACATTTGAATATAAAAATAGATTTTATCAAACAAAACTATGCTACATTTTATCTCTGGGACCCTTAGGATGACAAATCAGAGCAAGATTACTGAATGTAAGTACATTATTTACCTTCAGAGGTGAATGTATCAAACCAGTTGCCGTGATATGTTTTTGTTGTTGTTGTGCACTCTCCTCAAACAATAGCATGGTATTTTTTCACTGTAATAGCTACTGTAAATTGGACAGTGCAGTTAGATTAACAAGAATTTAAGCTTTCTGCTCATAGAAGATATGTCTATGTGTCACGTTCGTTTAAGGACGGGTCAGACCAAGGCGCAGCGTGAAATGCGTACATGTTTATTTAACCGATAAACACACTAACAAAACAACAAACCAACGAAACGTGAAGTCCTAAGGCTAAACACAAAACAAGCCTCCACACAGAACAAGATCCCACAACTAACTGAGTGCCAATAGGCTGCCTAAGTATGATCCCCAATCAGAGACAACGAGCGACAGCTGTCCTCTGATTGGGAATCACACCCGTCCAAACATAGAACTACACAACCTAGAATGCAACATAGAAATACTAACATAGAATATCCACACCCTGACTCAACATACAAGAGTCCCATGAGTCAGGGCGTGACACTATGTCCTGGAAAGTTTGCTGTTACTTACAACAGTCATGCTAATCACATTAGCGCACGTTAGCTCAACTGTCCCGTATACAGGACACCGATCCCGTAGAGGTTAATGAGCCTTTTGGACCTAGACTTGGCGCTCCTGTACCGCTTGCCGTGCGGTAGCAGAGAGAACAGTCTATGACTTGGGTGACTTTAGTTTTTGACCGTGTTCTGGGCCTTCCTCTGACACCGCCTGGTATAGAGGTCCTGGATGGCAGGAAGCTTGGCCCCAGTGATGTACTGGGCCGTATGCACTACCCTCTGTAGTGCCTTATGGTCGGATGCCAAGCAGTTGCCATACCAGGCGGGGATGCAACCGGTCAGGATGCTCTCGATGATGCAGCTGTATAACTTTTGGATCTGAGGACCCATGCCAAATCTTTTCAGTCTCCTGAGGGGGAAAAGGTGTTGTAGTGCCCTCTTCACGACTGTCTTTGTGTGTTTGGACCATGATAGTTTGTTGGTAATGTGGACACCAAGGAACTTGAAACTCTCGACCCGCTCCACTACAGCCCTGTCGATGTTAATGGGGGCCTGTTCGGCCCTCCTTTTCCTGTCGACCATGATCAGCTCCTTTGTCTTGCTCACATTGAGGGAGAGGTTGTTGTCCTGGCACCACACTGCCAGGTCTCTGACCTCCTCCCTATAGGCTATCTCATCGTTGTCGGTTATCAGGCCTACCACTGTTGTGTCGTCAGCAAACTTAATGATGGTGCTGGAGTCGTGCTTGGCCATGCAGTCGTGGGTGAACAGGGAGTACAGGAGGTGACTAAGCATGCACCCCTGAGGGGCCCTCGTGTTGAGGATCAGCGTGGCAGATGTGTTGTTGCCTACCCTTACCACCTGGGGGCGGCCTGTCAGGAAGTCCAGGATCCAGTTGCAGAGGGAGGTGTTTAGTCCCAGGGACTTTAGCTTAGTGATGAGCTTTGTGGGCACTATGGTGTTGAACGCTGAGCTGTTGTCAATGAACAGCATTCTCACATAGGTGTTCCTTTTGTCTAGGTGGGAAAGGGCAGTGTGGAGTGTGATTGAGATTGCATCATCTGTGGATCTGTTGGGGTGGTATGCGAATTGGAGAGGGTCTAGGGTTTCCGGGATGATGGTGTTGATGTGAGCCATGACCAGCCTTTCAAAGCACTTCATGGCTACCGATGTGAGTGCCACGGGGTGGTAGTTATTTAGGCAGGTTACCTTCGCTTTCTTGGGCACATGGGCTATGGTGGTCTGCTTGAAACATGTAGGTATTACAGACTCGGTCAGGGAGAGGTTGAAAATGTCAGTGAAGACACTTGCCAGTTGGTCCGCGCATGCTCTGAGTACACGTCCTGGTAATCCGTCTGGCCCTGCGGCTTTGTGAATGTTGACCTGTTTAAAGGTCTTGCTCACATCGGCTACGGTGAGCGTGATCACACAGTTGTCCGGAACAGCTGGTAATCTCATGCATGCTTCAGTGTTGCTTGCCTCGAAGCGAGCATAAAAGGCATTTAGCTCGTCTGGTAGGCTCGCATCACTGGGCAGCTCACGGCTGGGTTTCCCTTTTTAGTCCGTAATAGTTTGCAAGCCCTGCCACATCCTACGAGCGTCAGAGCCGGTGTAGTAGGATTCAATCTTAGTCCTGTATTGATGCTTTGCCTGTTTGATGGTTCGTCTGAGGGCATAGCGGGATTTCTTATAAGCATCCGGATTAGTGTCCCGCTCTAGCCTTTAGCCTTTAGCTCGGTGCGGAAGTTGCCTGTAATCCATGGCTTCTGGTTGGAATATGTACGGTCACTGTGGAGACGATGTCGTCGATGCACTTATTGCCATTGGATGAATCCCGGAACATATTCCAGTCTGTGCTTGCAAAACAGTCCTGTAGCGTAGCATCTGTGTCATCTGACCACTTCCGTATTGAGCGAGTCACTGGTACTTCCTGCCCTAGTTTTTGCTTGTAAGCAGGAATCAGGAGGATAGAATTACAGTCAGATTTGCCAAATGGAGGTCGTGGGAGAGCTTTGTATGCTCTCTGTGTGTGGCGTAAAGGTGGTCTAGAGTTTTTTTCCCCTCCACATGTGACATGCTGGTAGAAATGAGGTAAAACTGATTTAAGTTTGCCTGCATTAAAGTCCCTGGCCACTAGGAGTGCCACTTCTGGATGAGCATTTTCTTGTTTGCTTATGGCCTTATACAGCTCGTTGAGTGCAGTCTTAGTGCCAGCATCTGTTTGTGGTGGTAATTAGAAGGCTACGAATAATATAGATGAAAACTCGCTTGGTAGCTAATTTGAGATGTTTTATTTATCTTAGTAACTAGAATCAAGAACGTTAGCTTGATTGGCCAGCAGCCAGTAGGGCTAGCTAGCTAGCTAGGCTTGATAGGGGGGTAAAAGCTAACTGGTAAGTTAGCCTAGCAAGATAGCTAATAAATAACGAAATTGCCTTCCCTCTAAGGATTTTTTTTTACCCCCTATCAAGTCTGAAGGTGACAGCTAACATTTTAGTTTAGCCTTATTTTGTATTACTGGTTAGCTTAGCTAACTAGCAACTTGGCTAGAAGCTAGCTTTTTCCCAGTTAGTTTTCTCATCATGAATGAAGCAGATAGAGTAGCTACCTTGTGGTATGGTTATGTTTGGGGGTAGTATGTCCATTGGCCTGGGCTGGTGCTGGAGGAGGAGCGATGCGGCGGCAAGGCTGGATGTTGGTTCACTAAGGAGCAGGAGGGAGGAGACAGGGGCAGTAAGGGGTATGGGAGGGGGGTCAGGGGCAGTGGGTTAGTGGGTTTGGGGTCGGTGGCGTTGGCCCTTGCCTTCCCAGCGTAGGAACTGGGGAAGGTGCTGAAGAAATGGCCCCCTTTCCCGCACAGGTTGCAGGGTCGTGTGGAGGTACAGTCAGAGGTGGGATGGTTTCCCTTTAAAGATTCTGCAGATGATGGCTGTGCAGGCTGCGGCTAGATGGCCCAATTGGCCACAGTTCCTACACAGTTTGTGCATGCCATAGTAGTCAACGGAGCCCCTGTTGTTCCCCAGCATGATGGTACTGGGGAGGTGTTGGACTCCGTCCACTCCTGTTGGGTCCGGTCTTAACGGAACTTGGTTCTGGTCTTGATGATGTCTGTTCTGGTCGTTGGTCTGCTCCGGTCCTGCAGGGGGAGGAAGGACAACCTCAGAGCGAGCAGACACACCTGGAAGTCTGTGACACGGAGGTCAATGGAGGCACTCCCCTGTAGTCTGCTCGCTCCAGGCGTAGGTTGGTATCTTTAAAGGGGTTCCTTCCTCCGCGCCCTGGTTGTGGTGGTGTTCTCTGCATCTGGTCTGGTCTGATGTCTCCTTCTGGTAAAACTGCTCCACATGGTTGGCGGTCGGCTGGTCCTGGTCTAGATGGTGGTGGCCTGAGGAGGACAGATGGAAAAAAAGAAGCAGGGGAGGAGGGCTGCAGGCCAGGGGGTAGAGGGAGTAAAGGCTAGCCATATCAGCGCTTCTACTCGCCTTGAGACCTGCAGTCCGTCGTCTCCTCCTCAGGCAGCTGGATGCTGGGGGTGTCTGGGGTGGTCCGTGGACTGGGTAGTCAGGTCGGGCTGCGGTCAAGCCACTGTTACCTTTCCTTCTTTCCCAGTCCTTCAGGTGTCGGAGGGGTCCGTGGACTAGGGGAACAGCAACAGCCGCGATCAAGCCACTGTTACTAGCACTGTCCCCTAGTCCGTTGAAAATAAAATAGAAGAGAGAGAGAGAAAGAAGGTAGAGAGAGGGACACAACCCCAAAGAACTAACGCAAGGCCTCCTTGCCAAAATCCTGAAATATCCCTTTAAAGGGGGAGATGTCATAGTATGCACGGCAGTGTTACTGCATGTCGTAAAGCAGTACATAAGACCGTATGTGTGTTATCTTCGGGACATTCTTGAGAGATCATCATTAAAAACGACTCACCTAAAAGGATACTCCTCTGACTGGACATTTACTTGATATTATAGTCTTTATTACCTTCACAGACAAAATAATCTCAATTGAAAATAGCCTTGTGAAGTGAAGAGGAGACCCTTGGATAAGACTGTAACCATAATCCAACAGCAAAAAGTATTTGAACTCCCACATGTAAGTACAATATTGTATCTGGAGCACGTAGTAAAGCGCTCTACAGGGTGTAGGCCTTGTGTCCATCTATGTCTCCAGAGGTGGAGTAGCCCCTGTCGCTGACAGGCCAGTTGCCGGGGCTTGGGGCGGGAGAGCGGATGATGTGCTCAAAGAGGACCCCCTCAGGAGACAGGCCCACTCTGGGCAGGTAGAGTCTCACATGGTTGTCCTGACCAGGCCAGAACGCGTTAGGGTCGGCTCTACAGCTGGACGGCTCCCTCATGTTGCTGCTCCAAACAAACAGCACATACACACTACACATGTTAAACAGTACACATTGTTGTTGCTGTGGCTACTATCATTGTGCACTCTTAGTAAAAAGGGTTCCAAAATGGTTCTTTGCAGAGGAATAGGGTTTGATCAGAAGAACCCTTTTTGGAAGACAAGGGTTCTTTTTAAGGTAAAGGGTTCTACCTAGAACTTTTAACATCCTAAGAACCATTTTTGGAAGATGATTCTTTGGAAGGAAAGAAGGATTCTTTGGAAGGCAAGAAGGGTTCTACATAGAACCATATATACTATTTCCCAGCATGCACTATTGCAGGGAGATTATCAGAATTACTGAGATGGTTGTTCCAGTTTAGATGATTGAGGTAGTCTCAATATTCAATCTTATCTAACCTGGCAGTCATTCTGAAAGCAGGTTGTGGGTGATTAACAATTCCAGTTGTTGGATATCTTAACTCTGGCTGGATTCCAATAGGAATTACACATCACTTTGCAAGCCAGCATAATGTGACTTGCAGGCCTGATGTGGCCTGTAAACCAGGAGATTCCTAACACCACTGTGTTTGGGTATAACTATGCCCTCAAAGAAAGGCCTTATGATATATGTAATGTATTGTCATAAATAATTTTAATTTTAGAGGCTAATAAGGCTGGTGGAACCGCTCATAGAGAGTTCTAGGAAGAACCCTCCAAAGATAAAAGGGTTCTCGGTAGAACCCTTCATAGATGATTCTAGGAAGAACCTTTGGATTATAAAATGGTTTTTGGTAGAACCCTTCATAGAGGGTTCTAGGTAGAACCATATACAGGGGGTTCTTTGAAGAACCCTACATAGAGGGTTCTAGATAGAACCCTCTGCAAAGGGTTCTACCCAGCACCAAAAAGGATTCCCCTGTGGGAACTTGCCACCTTTTTTTCTAAGAGTGTGGCTGCTTGCTATAATAACACTTATGTCACTTCCTCCTCACCTGGTCATGTGGGCGTACTCCTCCCTGGTCAGCCAGCACTCGGTCTTGTGTCTGACCTCAGCTCGACCTGTGGACAGGGTCATCATCTTGGGCCCCCGACGCACAGACCTATGGGAGGGGTACAGAGGCCTGGAGGAGAAGGCAGAAAACAGCACAGGTAATGTCAGAGCTGTAGACTTCTCCCTCACTGTCAGAACTGCATGTGGTATAATTAAGCAATAAGGCACGAGGAGGTGTGGTATATGGCCAATATACCATGGCTAAGGAATGTTCTTATGCATGACGCAACGCGGAGTGCCTGGATACAGCCCTTAGCCGTGGTATATTGGCTATATACCACAACCCCCAGAGGTGCCGTATTGCTATTATAAACTGGTTACCAACGTAATTAGAGCAGTAAAAATAAATGTTTTGTCATACCCGTGGTATACAGCCTGATATACCATGGCTGTCAGCCAATCAGCATTCAGGGCTTGAACCACCCAGTTTATAATACAAACTTATATCGCTATTCTCTGCTTGATGTGACTCTCACTGTGTGGTCAATTTGGTCATCTATCTGCGGATGATGACATAAATACTCACGTATCCTTGCAGACTTTGTGTAGAGCGGCCTCTTCCTCCAGGTCATGCTCCTCTTCCTCCTTCTCCTCGCCCCCCCGGGGGTGTACTGCCGCTATAGCCGATCCAGGTCCTCAGACGGCCCCCACACCCCGGCATGGGATTCGACCCTGCCTGCCTCAGCACGGGACATTTCGGACCCCCTAGGACATGGTCCCCTGGATGCAGCAGAACTGAGGAGGAGCAGGACACACACACACACACCTACAATCAAGGTGCTTTAAAGTGCTATTAATCAGTAATGAAGGGTACTTGTGTCACATAAGGTCATGTGATTAGAATAGAAAAGGTGTCAACATCATCTGGAACTGTTTGTGTGTGTAAAGCCAAAGGGGTAAATGTTTGTGCTTTACCTCATTCCTGCCTCAAGGTATTGGCTTGGGCATAGCCGCGGGAAGTATGGGTGCTGGGGGTGCTGCGTTGTGGCCATAGATAAAGTATAATCCATTGAAGGATTTTGGAACCTCTAATCCTGGCACTTTGACTGGGTACACTAGCATTGGCTGCCAGTCCTGACTTGAATGGGAACTGCCATCTTTGGGTTATATTTCTATGGTTGGTTGCGGCTGTCAGTTTGCCTTTCACAAATTTCAAAATACAATCACGAGAAAAACATAGGCCTACCATTTGGAAAGCAAATGCATACTGCTAAAAAGAGAAGACTAATCTGTCTGTAGAAGCAAAAAAAAAAAATCTCAACAGCTTTGGAGCAATTCTTAGCGAACCGCACTGATTTTCAAAGTAGCTTATCTTCAAATATTGGCACGAGCACATCACCGGTGAGTAGCCTATGCTTCATCTTCATCATTGGGTGAGTCAGTGTCACTGGAAAGTTTATTTTGTAGCCTACTGTAGCCTATACTATACACTGAGTATTCCAAACATTAGGAACACCTTCTTAATATTGAGTTGCACTCAGGACAGCCTCAATTCATCGGGGCATGTACTCTAGGTGTCGAAAGTGTTCCACAGGGATGCTGGCCCATGTTGACTTATTTTACCCCTTTTTTCTCCCCAATTTCGTGGTATCCAATTGGTGGTTACAGTCTTGTCCCATCGCTGCAACTCCCGTGCGGACTCCGGAGAGGCGAAGGTCGAGAGCCTCCAAAAACACAACCCAGCCAAGCCGCACTGCTTCTTGACACAATGCCCACCTGGCGACCGTGTCAGGGCGCATTGCGCCCGGCCTGCCACAGGAGTCGCTAGTGCACGATGGGACAAGAACATCCCTGCCGGCCAAACCCTCCCCTAACCTGTACGATGCTGGGCCAATTGTGCACCACCCCATGGGTCTCCCGGTCGCAGCCGGCTGCGACAGAGCCTGGACTCGAACCAGGATCTCTAGTAGCACAGCTAGCACTGCGATGCAGTGCCTTAGACCACTGCGCCACTCGGGAGGCCGGTGGTGGACCATTCTTGACATCAGAGGAGGCTGGTGGGAGGAGCTATAGGAGGATGGGCTCAATGTAATGGCTGGAATGGAATCAATGGATCGGTATCAAACAAATCAAACATATAGAAACCACGTTTGACTCCGGTCCATTTATTCCATTCATCCATTACAATGAGCCTGTCCTCCTTTGGCTCCTCCCACCAGCATCCTCTGCTTGATACACATGGGAAACTGTTGAGCGTGAAAAACTCAGCAATGCTACAGTTCTTGACACAAACCGGTGTGCCTGGCACCTACTACCATACCCTGTTCAAAGGCCCTTAAATATTTTGTCTTGCCTATTCACCCTCTGAATGGCACACATACACAATCCATGTCTCAATTGTCTCAAGGCTTAAAAATCCTTCTTTAACCTGTCTCATTGAAGTGGATTTAACAAGTGACATCAATAAGGGATCATAGCTTTCACCTGGATTCACCTGGTCAGTGTATACTTTATATCAGGGTTTCTGTTGGACAAGTGACTGGGAAGATTTTAATTTATCTGACATTTGAGAAATGTACCGGTCATCCATATGCATTGGGTGCATAACCTAATAGGGCGTCCTCCCACACAGCCAGCGCCATCAATAAACGAGGGATATTGGCCAAATGAGCCACATTTATATTCCTTAAAAACAGCCTATAACAAATTACAAAAACACTATTCCTTGTGTTTCGATGTGTAGCATATGCAAAACTTTATAGCCTATTGTTTTTACTTTCCTAAAACAATAATTGTCCACCTCATGGTTCAGCTGTCAGAGATTTGAGCACTAAATGCATCAGGGCATTGCATGCATAGGCCTATATATGCTTAGGCATCTACTGTATGATATGAATATTTAGAAAATTAATATAAAGGAAGAAAACACAGTTTAGGCCTAGCCCCAGAGAGAGAGAGAGAGAGAGAGATAGAGATATGTCGGCTGCATGCTACGACACCAACATGCATTTATTTATCGTTGTCAGATGGGCTACTGCGTCTGCTATACAGATATAGGCGTACAGAAGAAGATTAATTTGTTATTTTTCTATCAGAATATTTTTTTATAAAGATAAGCATTATATTGTTAGATTATAAGAGTAACTCTGGTAGGCCTAATACATTCTTTGTCACCTCAAGTTCAACTGTCGGAGTCAGTTGGAACGCTGGTGCGCACTACCTTCATATCATATGCTGCAGTATACGCTAATAGCCCTACCACACCAAACCTTAACATAAGTTTCTAAACTTTATTAGGGTAATATCAAAAGTAAGTCAAGCCATTGTTTATAGGGATAATACATGCAGGATATTATATCCCGGCAAACACAACATTCCAGTTGGAACTTAATTTGGCCAAAGAAAATGGCTCAACAGAATGAAACAAAACACTTGGAACTGGGCTTAAACCTTCACAAAAGTTTTGAACAGGCTATATTGCAGCAATTACCAAGAAAGACTAGTGCCTAACTTACCCAACAAATGACAGCAATAGGCTAATTATATTTATTTTACAAAAGGCCTACTTATAACCTATCTTAAACTAAATACGGAGCACACAATTAAAAAGACAGATCGAACTTAATTTAGCCAACGGAAATTTCTCTACAGAATGAAACAAAACACGTTTTGCATATTTAAAAACTGGTTTAGATAAATAAATACGCACACAATAATAATGATATAAAATAATAATAATGATAACAAATTATTATTTTGGCCATTTGTGTGGTATAACAAAATATTCTGCTAATCTCTTCTATCATGTAAATGACGTAGAATTGCATGAAATGCGTTTATAAAAGGCCCATTTGTTTTCCAGACCCAGCTAAAAAAAGAAATCCTAAAAATGTGTCTGCTCAACTGTATGCCACTACGCAAATGCGTTTATAGATGCATGCAATGCATTATTATAAAGGTGTCCACCCCCCTCCAGCACCCCCAACTAAACATCTATGTGCTTGGGTGTCTAGTGTACTGTGTTTGTGTACTGTGTGTGTCATTGTTGCTGTATGTGTGTTTTTCTATGGGTCTCACCTCTCTCCAGTGTGGCCTGGTTGACTGTGACCCCCTGTGTGTGACACTGGTACAGTGAGTCCAGGTACTCCCCCAGACACTGTCTCCTGAACCTGTCCACCGCTTTGGCCGTGTCTCCTCCCAGAGAGGACGGGTGGGAGTGGGCGTCCTGGGTGGGGTTCCCTGTACAAACTGTCCTCATGATGGCCAGCACCTCCTCATCCTGCATGCCCTTCTACAGACAAGGTTAGAGTCAGAGGTTAGGTCATGATAGGGCCAATGGAAATAGAGAGAGAGTGGCCGTAATAGCCTTGATGCTCTGTAGGGACGACTGTCTCTGGACAGGTGTCCTGCCTGTAGGATTTGATTGTGTTGGTCCTTCCCTCACCTTGATCCTGTTGCGGTGGTGCTGCTGGATACGGGCCTGCTCCTGCTGCTCCTCCAGAGACAGGGGAGTCTGCAGGCACAGCTCAGGACTGGGGAGGGGCAGGAGCTGGGCACCATGCCTCCCCGACCCCCGCTTAGGACCACGGCTCCACACTGGCTTCCGTGCTAAGAGGAGAAGAGAGGAGGGGATAGGAGGGGAGGAGAGTGGAGGGGAGGGGAGGGGATGAAAGAGGAGAGTAGACATGGCAATGGGAGGTCTTTCTAGCACTGCATTTGTAGCCATTTAATCACATCATACAACTTAACAATGCTACACAATGCTCTTTGGGTGATGAGCTGAGAGGATCATGTCTTTACTAACCTGGGATGCTCGGGAAACCGCTGCTCCCTGCCCCTCACTCTCTCTATTTCCCTGTTGCACCCCTTCTCCAGCTCTAGGTCTCCTCTCTCTGTCAGGCCCCTGCGGCCCCAGCTGGTACTCTCCTCCCTCTCCCTCTCCAGGCTCCAGGCCTTGATGCCCTCCGCCAGGTCCTTCACTGTCACTGTGTCCCCCTCCATGCCGCTCAGAGTGGACACCAGGTGATCCAGATGCTCTGGCACCACAGGGATGCCCTCCTGATGGGGATGCATCAATATCAATAAACACACACATAGACCACACAGATTGCCATGTCATTATATTATTTATAGGATCACTACCTTCTCAAACACAGCTCGGAGGTCATTCCGACTGATGAGTCCCGTGCCATGTTTGTCAAGCCTCTTGGCCAGTTCAGAGGGTCGGAGCTTGTGAGTGCGGCAGTACCTCTTTACCTCCTTTACCTTGCACAGTGGGGACCGGACTGCGCTTGGACGAGGCACATTAGCCCACCGAGAAGGACGGGTCGGGCTGGCACGTGTTCTGGCCTGGAGAAGGGACAGAGAAAGGTGATTAAGACAAGTAACATAATGGGGTCTAAGAGCCATGGGGGCATCACTCATTGATGATTTCCCAGTGAGCACCGTCTGGAAACGGACATCCATGGACATTGAAAAGACGCTTACATTTGGTCTGTCCCCCCTGGCCTTGATTTCAACGTCCACAGACGTCCGGTCCTGACCAGACTTGATTTGGCCTTGGCCCAAACATAGACGTCTATAATTGGTTCAGATTTGGTCCAGTCCGGAGCAAAATTTTAACCAATCATAGACGTGTATGTTTTACAAGTATGGACAGCACAGTACAGCACAGTAGAGAACAGAAGAGTAGAGTACAGTGATGTACAGTCAAGTAAAGTAGAGTATAGTTCAGTAAGTATAGTAGAGCACAGTAGAGTACAGTAGAGCACAGTAGAGTAAAGTACAGTATAAAGTACTATATTGTACTGAACTGTATTCTACTCTACTGAACTAAACTCTACTGTACTGAACTAAACTCTAATGTGCTCTACTGTACTGTACTGTACTGTACTGTGCTGTACAAACTTGTAAAACGTAGACGTCTATGATTGGTTCAGATTTGGTCCGGTCAGGACCGACCAATTGTTTGGGTGCAGATGTCATTAGAATAATACCCAGCATGCTTTTGGCATTAGAATAATACCCAGCATGCTTTGCAAGTCTTTATTTTTTACATTTACATTTTGGCCTTTTAGCAGATGCTCTTATTCAGAGGACTTACCATCCATGCATTCAATTAAGGTAGATAAACAACGACATACCACAGACTGTAACTGAGAATGTTGTTGTAGTTTAAGTGTTCTGTTGTTGTTTGTTGTTGGTCTGAAAACTTTGAACATGATCACTGCCAGTTCTAAAGCTTTTTGAAAAACACATAATGGGAGGAATAATAAATATTCCATACTGCAATCTTCAATTTGCTCCAATTAGAATAAAAAATGATGAATGTTATATAATGCTTTCTAGATATAAGTGAATGTAAGTACAGTTGAAATTTGGCCATAGAAACAATTACCAAAATAATACATTTTAAACGTCTATAAAATACGTATTTTCAACGTAAAATAATATTTTCAACGTCTTTTCAACTTTAATTCAGAACTGAAAATGAACTTGATTTCAACGCCTGGGAAAAAAAAATCTAAAATACATATCTACTTAATTTGGCTCACTGGGGTTACCTTATGAGCCTCAGGGGGTGTCAAAGTAAAACCCGGGACAGGTGAGGGAGTTTTCTGCTTCTTTTTCTCTCTTTCCACAACCAACATCTCCAGCTCGGTCACCGTCGGCTTGCTGTCAACCCACTTCGACAAATCTCCGAGACTATCGAACTGTCGACGAAAGGACCTCCTTTGGTTAACCCAGTCTTGATGCTTCGCGTCATTACCTTCCAAAGGCAGCACTGTCATTGGAGCGCCACTGACTCTGTCCCCTGCTCCCGACACCATGGCCGCAACTGCCACTGACCCATATCGGCATTTTGTCGGCACTTGGCATGCAGGCTTCGGCATGCAAACGGGCATTTTGGGCATCGGTGGCGCGATGAAAACCCTGTCCCGTGTTTTAGCGGGACCGAACACTCTGCTTGCCATTTTGTAGAAATATGTCTGGAATAAATCTCTCTTTTTAATCCGCGCCAGTTGTTCCTCTATCTCCAAATCCTCCATTTTTAGGCGCTGAGATTATAGACCTAGTCAAATGAAACAGTTTCGGATTTATATTGTATATAATGTATTCATATTATAAATGGAGACCGTCGACTCTTGGTGAGCAGCGCTGGTTCTTCATCCACTCGTGCATGTTTACGCATGGTAACCATGGAACCTTTTGTTGCATTGTGCAGGGGCCACTCCATAGATGCGGTAAAGAGGTCAATCGAACTCGACCAATAATGGAATTGCCATTGAAACGCGTGGGGGAAAGTAGTGGTGCACGACTCCAGGATTTGTGGAGTCGACTCCGACTCTGATTCCTGTCGTTGGAGTCGAAAGAAGTGGACTCTTGCTCGACTCCGAAAACAAGCTGAAATTGATGCGTACACATGTACAAATCTATTTTTTTCACATTTCAGAGCTTTCAATACATTCTCTATGGGTGTCTGTGGGCTTGCACTTACGCGCTTTCGTCATACGTGACGTAACGTTGAACGTAACTAAGACAATGGCGGCTAGCAGCGTCTATGTTGCGACCTGCAGTGTGGCGTTATTTTATGTTTTTAATTTGTAGACTTAGTTTACAAACATTCTGCAAACATTCTGCTTTGGACTGATCTTCGGTTTTGGACTGATCTTGTTGATCGTGTACATACCCGCTACGAACGGACTAAATAATGAAAACGCTGCTGGCAGCGGAATCCCAATACAGCTGGGAGACTTGGCTGGATGACAGAGTCCCGGACAGAGAGGTGGAGCCGGCCGGCTTCACCCTGGTCAGAGCGGACCGCGATCCTGGTAAGAGAGCGACTCTGTACCCCGACATTGAACTGCTTTCTGTGTCATTGAACCTTACTATTGTTGATAAAACAAGTTTACTGGAGAACGGAGACCAAGTAGAGACTTTTGGACAAGGTGGATAATTGTATAATATAAGGCAGTTTATTCAGAGGTAAAGATATCTGGAATCGCGTGCACAGACCCGTTCGTCAAACTCGTAGGGAGTTTATCAGAAGAGCCCCTAAACATTGTGTGCTGACATTTTATACAATAAAATGAAGTAGGTTGAATCTAGTAGTTCTGATCTTCTGATTGGTCCTGATGAGTTGGGCGAGGTCACCTCCAGGCTAGTGTCACTGTTGCATTGGCTCTGAGTCGGGTTCTCTGTCTTCAGATGTTCAGCCTAAGAGAAGAGGATTTGTGTGTGTGTGTGTGTGTTTGTTATCAGTGTGTGTGTGTGTGTGTGTGTGTGTGTGTTTGTTATCAGTGATGATGTGTGTGTGTGTGTGTGTGTGTTTATCAGTGATGATGATGTGTGTGTGTGTGTGTGTGTGTGTGTGTGTGTGTGTGTGTGTGTGTCCTCAGGGCAAGAACTTGTGAGTTGGAAGAACTGAGAGACCTATGGCGTGGGTGTTATCCTTAGCCACCTGCTGACAAGGCTGACAAGATAGGACTCTTGTTCATTGTATTGAATACAAAGGCCCAACACAAAATGGGTCATGCACAAGATTTTAGTCAGACCAAGCTATAACATTATATATTTACTACGACAGTACATTCAACCAAAAGCTAATATAACAAAGGCATCAGAGATGATTTATAATCTGTCACAGAAACTGGAATTCATCTCCCCAGATCAGTCAATAAATGCTTCTGGTATTGACTTATATGCTGCCCCTGTCTTCATGTTGTTGCTGGACATATCTTTTTTAAAATGTGTGTAGGTCACCTAAATCATCAGAAAAATTGCCCCTCCTGAGAATTTTTTCAGGAGCCGCCACTGCACATGTACACAGCACATCATTATTGCAGAGTGCTACTAGACTACATGTGCGTTCTAGAGGACTGACATGAGCATGATGCTGCCCATTTGGTCATCAAATAGAAGGTGATGTATAGGAACTAGAATATTTCAGTGATATTTCTGCTGTGTTTACATTTACATTTATGTCATTTAGCAGACGTTCTTATCCAGAGCGACTTACAAATTGGTTCATTGACCTTATAGCCAGTGGGATAACCACTTTACAATATGTATTATTTTTATTTTTTTTATTTCTTTGGGGTGGGGTAAGGGGGGGTAGAAGGATTACTTTATCCTATCCCAGGTATTCCTTAAAGAGGTGGGGTTTGAAGTGTCTCCGGAAGGTGGTGAGTGACTCGTGAGGGAGCTTTTTCCACCATTGGGGTGCCAGAGCAGCGAACAGTTTTGACTGGGCTGAGCGGGAACTGTGGTAGGGGGGGCCAGCAGGCCAGAGGTGGATGAACGCAATGCCCTCGTTTGGGTGTAGGGACTGATCAGAGCCTGAAGGTACGGAGGTGCCGTTCCCCTCACAGCTCCGTAGGCAAGCACCATGGTCTTGTAGCAGATGCGAGCTTCAACTGGAAGCCAGTGGAGTGTGCGGAGGAGTGGGGTGACATGAGAGAACTTGGGAAGGTTGAACACCAGACGGGCTGCGGCATTCTGGATGAGTTGTAGGGGTTTAATGGCACAGGCAGGGAGCCCAGCCAACAGCGAGTTGCAGTAATCCAGACGGGAGATGACAAGTACCTGGATTAGGACCTGTGCCGCTTCCTGTGTAAGGCAGGGTCGTACTCTCCGAATGTTGTAGAGCATGAACCTACAGGATCGGGTCAGCGCCTTGATGTTAGCGGAGAACGACAGGGTGTTGTCCAGGGTCACGCCAAGGCTCTTCGCACTCTGGGAGGAGGACACAACGGAGTTGTCAACCGTGATGGCGAGATCATGGAACGGGCAGTCCTTCCCCGGGAGGAAGAGCAGCTCCGTCTTGCCGAGGTTCAGCTTGAGGTGGAGATCCGTCATCCTCATTGATATGTCTGCCAGACATGCAGAGATGCGATTCGCCACCTGGTTATCAGAAGGGGGAAAGGAGAAGATTAGTTGTGTGTCGTCTGCGTAGCAATGATAGGAGAGGCCATGTGAGGATATGACAGAGCCAAGTGACTTGGTGTATAGCGAGAATAGGAGAGGGCCTAGAACTGAGCCTGGGGGACACCAGTGGTGAGAGCACGTGGTGCAGAGACAGATTCTCGCCACGCCACTTGGTAGGAGCGACCGGTCAGGTAGGACGCAAGTTTAGCCTTGACGATCACATGGGATGATGCGGGGCCCTACGCTGATAAACCTATTCTTTGCCATGTTACAGCCCTATTCGGACAGGTATTACTAGAGATGTTGGTTTTGTCATTATTATCCAAGCATGTGCGTTATTCCAGCGAACAATTCCCACAGGATAATTTTTTCCAAACTGCCCCCTGTAATTCTAAATGTTTTCAAATAAAATTGACTCTTATGACAGAAGCTTGGAGGTTTTTATTGTAGGTGTCACGATCGTGTGAATGATGAGACCAAAGCGCAGCGCGTGTTCCGAGAAACATGATGACTTTATTTACTTAAAGTGCAACACGAGAAAACAACAAAGAACGATACGTGAAGTTCCACTACTGATAACGACAGCAACAAGGAAACAAGGAAACAATAACCCACAAAACAAAGGAGAAAACACACAGAATATATATGGCTCCCAATCAGAGATAACGAGCCGACAGCTGACACTCGTTACCTCTGATTGGGAGTCATCGACCAATCACCACATGACACAAACAAAAATGAGACTCACCCATTCCCAACACCACCAAATGAAATACACCCAACACAAGAAAATGAACAACCCTGGCTCAATATAAACGTCCATAGAGCCAGAGTGTTACAGTACCCCCCCCTAAAGGTGCGAACTCCGGGCGCACCAGCATACAGTCTAGGGGAGGGTCTGGGTGGGCGTCTGTCCACGGTGGCGGTTCTGCTTCTGGTCGTGGTCCCCATCCCACCTTAGTCACTCTCCGCTTCCGTCCTCCCTTCCTCATGACCACCCCCCAACTCAACCCCACAGGATTAAGGGGCGGCACCGGACTCAGGGGCAGCACCGGGATAAGGGGCAGCACCGGGACAAGGGGCAGCACCGGACTACGGGGCAGTACCGGACTAAGGGGCAGCACCGGACTAAGGGGCAGCACCGGGATAAGGGGCAGCACCGGGACAAGGGGCAGCACCGGACTCAAGGGCAGCACCGGGCTAAGAGGCAGTACCGGACTACGGGTCAGCACCGGGCTAAGGGGCGGCACCGGACTCAGGGGCAGCACCGGACTAAGGGGCAGCACCGGGCTGAAGGGCAGTACAGGACTAAGGGGCAGCACCGGGCTAAGGGGCAGTACCTGACTAGATGGCGGATCCTGGCTGGCTGGCTCTGGCGGATCCTGGCGGGACGGCTCTGGCGGATCCTGGCGGGACGACTCTGGCGGATCCTGGCGGGACGGCTCTGGCGGATCCAGGCTGGACGACACTGGCGGATCCTGGCGGGACGGCTCTGGCGGATCCAGGCTGGACGGCTCTGGCGGATCCAGGCTGGACGGCTCTGGCGGATCCTGGCGGGACGGCTCTGGCGGATCCGGGCTGACCGGCTCTGGCGGATCCTGGCTGGCCGGCTCTGGCTGATCCTGGCTGGACGGCTCTGGCGGATCCTGGCGGGACGGCTCTGGCGGATCCGGGCTGACCGGCTCTGGCGGATCCTGGCTGGCCGGCTCTGGCTGATCCTGGCTGGACGGCTCTGGCGGATCCAGGCTGGACGGCTCTGGCGGATCCGGGCTGGACGGCTCTGGCGGATCCGGGCTGACCGGCTCTGGCGGATCCTGGCTGGCCGGCTCTGGCTGATCCTGGCTGGACGGCTCTGGCGGATCTGGCTGCTCATGGCCGGCTGACGGATCTGGCTGCTCATGGCTGACTGACGGATCTGGCTGCTCATGGCTGGCTGACGGATCTGGCTGCTCATGGCTGGCTGACGGATCTGGCTGCTCATGGCTGGCTGACGGGTCTGGCTGCTCATGGCTGGCTGACGAATCTGGCTGCTCATGGCTGGCTGACGGGTCTGGCTGCTCATGGCTGGCTGACGGGTCTGGCTGCTCATGGCTGGTTGACAGATCTGGCTGCTCATGGCTGG